ACAACAACACATGACATATTACACTATGTCATCATTTATTTTACAAAAAGAAAGCCAAAATGGAGAAGACGTGTGAAAAACTAAGTACGCCTTATGATTCAATAGCTTGTAGAACCACCTTTAGCAGCAATAACTTGAAGTAATCATTTTCTGTATGACTTCATCAGTCTCTCACATTGTTGTGGAGGAATTTTGGCCCATCCTTCTTTACAACATTGCTTCAGTTCATTGAGGTTTGCGGGCATTTGTTTATGCGCAGCTCTCTTGAGGTCCCGCCACAGCATTTCAATTGGTTTGAGGTCTGGACTTTGACTGGGCCATTGCAACACTTGATTCTTTTCTTTTTCAGCCATTCTGTTGTAGAATTTGCAGGTGTGCTTGGGATCATTGTCCTGTTGCATGACCCAATGTTGGGCAAGCTTTAGCTGTCGGACAGATGGCCTCACATTTGACTCTAGAATACTCCGGTTTGCAGAGCTGTTCAGGGTCGACTCAATGACTGCAAGGTACCCAGGTCCTGTGGCTGCAAAACAAGCCCAAATCATCACCCCCTCCACCACCATGCTTGACGGTTGATATGAGATGTTTGTGCAGATATGCTGTGTTTGGTTTTCGCCAAACGTGGCACTGTGCATTATGGCCAAATGTTATGTCTGCTACTTAGCCTCTTCATACCTATGGAAGCAGTACTTTTTTTCCCACACAACTGTATATACTGTAGATGTTAGAGTTAATGTTTTATTGTCAAATCCCCCTTCTATAAATATATATCTACCTTCCCTATCTTTCAAAATCTTTTGAACTTTGAAATGTATGCCAGATTTAAAAAGAATGGCTATTCCCCTTGATTTATTAGACCCTTGTGCAAAAAATTATCAAAGTACCTATCGTTCATCCTATTTGTTATTTATGTTTCTTGTAACATAACCACATGAGGTTTAAATGATTTAACATAATTAACAATTTTTCCTTTTAATAGGATTTCCCAGACCTTTAACATTAAGTGAAATGATTTTTCATTGTTCTCCCATTACCTCCATTTTTTAGAGCACCTCTGTCTAATTTCTCTATGCAATGAAAGTAATTGTGCATCCAGGAAATTTTTGAAAGTTTATTACTCACAAAATCTATCAATATGTTGCCTGATATTATAAAGAGCATATAAAACATTTCTATTTACTACATAGATATCCTCTTCCCATTCTCTCTTCTCCCTTTGGAAATTGCCCTCTTCCCTTGCCGCTCCACCCATCCTATGCCCTTACTAAACCATACCACCATATCCAAACTCCCTGCTCTCCAGTCAACAGCTCCTAGCCATAGTTTTACCTACATTATTATTTTATATAGTTGTTTTTTCCTTATTTATTTAACTCTGTCCTTTTTCCCTTTCCACTAAATCTAGATTCAGCATAAGTCAGTATAATGTATGTTACTCTGCAACTCGACGTAGTGTTCTTATCTAATCTTCAGCTTGTGGTTGAGCTTCCTTTCCACAGTTCCAAGGACAAGTGATAGATAGCTTCCTTCATCCCTTGTTAGAGAGCTCTGCCAACAAGCTCTGCTTCTCAGTCAAAGTTGAATAACTTTTCGTCCTTGTGACATAAATACAATTAATTTGAAAGGGAATCCCCATTTGTTTTGAATCTCATTCTGCATAATTTTTTTTGTCAGTGGTTTGAATTCCTTTCTTCACTGCAATGTAGCTACGCTGATATCTTGGAAAAAGAATATTCTTTCAGTGTCCAATTTTATTTGTTCCAGTTCACATGCTTTTCTTATAATTTACATTTGAATTTACAAATCTGACCAAAATTTCTCTAGATTTCTCTGTATTCCTAGGAAAGTAATCCCAGTGAGCACGTTCAATATCTTTATCTGATAGTTCATGTCAGCTCATTTTAGAGATTAGTCAGATTAATTCCAGCTTTCTCTGGCACTCCTTTCATCCTTAAATTATTTTTCCTACTATGATTCTGTAAATCTGCCAACTCAATCTTTATTTCAGAAATATTCTTTTGAGCCTTACCTATCTCTAGAGAGTTATTTGTAGCCATATTATAAGCTTTACTGGCTACCTGAGCAATATCTGCTTTTGCCGTGACATTTCCTTACATTGTTTATTCATTTGCTCAGAATACCTGCCAAGTCTCTAGATATTCCCACAGCATGTTAGTCCCATTCTGTCTTCAGTTCTTTTTTAAGTTGATTTATTAATTGTCCAATTACCTCCATATCAGGTGTCTGTCCATGTCTGTGGGCAGTGCTTTCTTCCTCCA